GAAGTCCACGCATCTTAAAAGTTGGCAAGGCTGGGAAATCCTGATGTAGACAATACAACGCACCATCCATGTTAAAACAGGCTAGTTGAGTCACTGCAAACTCTTACTCACTGTGCGATCTTCCAGGTACATGGTTTTTGATAAGAAGTCAATGCCGATTGTTGCCTGCAAAATGCAATGCAATAGTGAGTACCTAAATGCACACATTCCTTTTTGCTAAATTACGCGCTATCCACTCAATTACTAGTCAAGAGTAATGAAAATCTGAAATATCAGTTACCATGCTGGATCCATTTAATCAAGCGAATCTGCGGTTTTTTTAATTTGAGATGAACAACTGACCGTTAATCTAGAATCTAAATCTAAGGCATAGATCAAGCTTCTACTTCCACTACAGGTAGTCCTCAAATTACAACCGTTCATTTACTGACTGCTCAAAGTTACAACTGCACTGACCACTTTTCACGCTTATATGACTGTTGAGCATCTCCCATGGTCATGTGATCAAAATTCAGCCACTTGGCAACTGACTCATACTTATGACGGTTGCAGAGTCCCAGGGACATGGGATCACCCTTTGCGACCTTTTGTCAATGAGGGAAGCAGATTCACTTAACAACCCTGTTACTAACTTAACAACTGCAGTGATTCACTTAGCAATGGTGGCAAGAAAGGTGGTAAAACGGGACAAAACTCAGTTAACTGTCTCGCTTAACGACATTAATTTTTGGGCTCAATTGTGGTCGTTAAGTCAAGGACTACCAATATATGGAGGGAAGGGAAGAAGAACATTTTTAAAAAGGGGGCCTTGAACCAGACGCTTACAAAGCAGCGGCTCTTTGAAGTCAGAGAGAACATTTTTCTTGCTGAAAATTCTTTTTTTTTAATCTTTCTTTTAAAAAAACATTTTTTATTAATTTTCTATTTAATACATTTCTTAGTGCTTAATAAACATAGTGTTGTCTGGGTATTAAATCTGCTTAACGATACAGATTCCATTCTTACTCTCCACCCTTTTCCAACTACTGGTAAAATAAGTGCCATGTTTGATAATATTCTGTGTCTTCATATTGATTATGATTTGATTGCTTTTTGTACTCTATGACTATTATTAAGTGTTGTACCTTATGATTCTTGACTCTTGACAAATGTATCTTTCCTTTTATGTACACTGTGAGCATTTGCACCAAAGACAAATTCCTATGTCCAATCACACTTGGCCAATAAAGAATTCTATTCTATTCTTTCTGTTTGTTTTTCAATGTCAGTCTCTTCATTCCTGCACAATCTAATAATATCTTCTTAAATATATCTCCTCGTCTTGTGGTATCTTCATTTTTTCAATATTGTGCGAAGAGAATCCTTGCTGCTGTTAAAATATGTTTTAACAGCTCTTTTTAATCTTTCAACGGCTATTCTGTCCACAGGAAACTTCTCCCACCAACGAAGAAGGAACAGATTCTGCAGGTTCTGTTCCTAAATCTTCCTTCTCCCCTTGTTGCTCCCTCTCTCTCTCTTCATCCTTTGTACTCGCTAAGGGAATCCAGAAGCCCGATGTTAAGGAAGCAGCAAAGGTTCCTTCTATTGTGCTTCTATTGTCTGGGCTCACCGCTGGAAATCCACCTTGGGGGCGCCAGAGGTGGTCTCCCTCCTTCCTCCGCAGAAAGGGCCCCGCCGTCTGGCTCCGCTGTTTGCAAAGCGCACAAAGCCATGTGCTGTGCAGGCATGAGATAATGCTAAGGCGTGAACAGACTGATGGAGGACTTGAAAAAAGGCCTTGCAAAGAGCGATTCGGCAGGCCCTTTTCTTCTTCCACACGACTGCCCCTCGGGCTTCTTCATGCCTCGTAGCACAGGAAGCAGGGATTTTTTTATTTTTTATTTTGGAAAAGGCAACGGGGCTGATTCAAACCTTGCCCTCTCTCCCCCCTGTCTATCTCCAAGAAGGGAAGGGAGATCGCAGCAGTGGGCTTGCTCTGTAACTGGCAAAGAAAGCAAGAGAGGAAGGAGCAGGGTGCTTAACAGTACTACAGAATAACAGAGTTGGAAAAGGGACCTTGGAGATCTTCTAGTCCAACCCCCTGCTCAAGCAGGAAACCCTGTACCAATTCAGACAATGCTTGTCCAACCTTTTCTTACAAACCTTCAGGGTTGAAGCACCCACCCCTTCCAGAGGCAAGCAGTTCCACTGGTTAATTGTCCTCACTGTGTTGGGGAGTTTCTCCTTAGTTCCAGTTTCTGGCTCTTTGGAGAATTAGGCTGACCCCCTTCTTCTTTGGGGCAGCCCCTCAAATATTGGAAAGACTGCTGTCATGTCACCCCCTCATCTTTCTTTTCACTAAACTAGACATGCCCAATTCCTACCCATTCTTTGCACGTTTTGGCCTCCAGCCCTCTAATAATCTTTGTTGCCGTCCTCTGCACTCTTTCCAGAATTTTCGGCGAAATCATCTTAAGACCACAGGATGCTGCCCATGATCCCAAAACATGGCTATCTTGTTGAGCAGAATTATCACAGGTGGGACCCTTGGAGATCTTCTAGTCCAACACACAAGTTTGCGGCAGTGTCTCTGACCTCATTTGGACACCTGCCACGCAATTCCCTGACAAAACAACTCTTCCATTTCCTTTTCTTTAAAACTCCTGCGTTTGGTTCTCAAGACACACACACACACACACACACAGAGAGAGAGAGAGAGAGAGAGAGAGAGAGAGAGAGAGAGAGAGAGAGAGTCCTAGAACCCTCGCTTCTTTGGGGCAGCCCCTGAGATATTGCAAGACTGCTGTCATGTCGCCCTTAGTCCTTCTTTTCATTAAACTGGACCTACCCAATAACTTTTGAGTACTTTGGCCACCTAATGAGAAGGAAGGACTCCCTGGAGAACAGCCTAATGCTGGGAAAGATGGAGGGCCAAAGAAGAAGAAGGGGAGGGCAGAGAAGGAGAGGGCTGGAGGGAGTCACTGAAGCAGTCGGCGTGAGCTTAAACGGACTCCGGAAGATGGTAGAGGACAGGAAGGCCTGGAGGAACGTTGTCCATGGGGTCATGATGGGTTGGACACGACTTTGCAACTAACAACAACAACCCAATAACAGAATACCAGAGTTAAAAGGGAACCTGGAGGTTATCTAGTTCTACCCGCTGCTGGAGCAGGAGACCCTACACCATTGCAGACAACTGGCTGTCCAGTCTTTTTTTAAAAACCTCCAGTGTTGGAGCACCCACAATTTCTGGAGGCAAGCCGTTCCACTGCCTAACCTCCCTGTCAGAAATTTCTCCTTAATCCCAGGTTGCTTCTCTTCTTGATGAGTTTCCATCCATTGTCCTTCTTGTCCTGCCTCTTCAGGGGCTTTGGAGAACAGAGAACCTATCTGGAGAATAGGTTGAGCCCCCTTCTTTAAGAGGAGCTGGCATTCAGCCGGTGGATAATGCTGGGCAGAAAGGCAAGTGCATTCTAGGGACCCATCTCATAAATCCTCTGTGAGCAAAGAGGGATCCAGTTCCATTCCGATCTCCCACTTGAGTGGTCTCCCTGCTTTGTGGTTTCAGACCATCGGCCTTATAAATGCTTCATTGGTTATGCCGTATGTCCTTTCCCGGAAGGCCGCAGTACTATTCAAGCTCTGAAGGCCAAACTCCAATTAAAACCAGGATGCACATTGCACAAAGAGAACCCAGGCTGGGACAGGACAATTGATGATGGCATGAACAAAAGCGCGATAATGACGGCACTTGCAATGGGCAGAAATAGAAAGGGGTCTGCAAAAGAATGTTTGAGCTGTCTTATATCGTCAAAAAGTCCTGCTGAATCTGCTGGCATTCCAATCCGGCCACTAGAACTATTCCAGCTAAGTGCTGTTCAACCAGGGTGGATAAAAATCGATGGTTTTTTTTTTAAATTTAAAAAAAAAAATTGGAATTTTTTTTATTTCTATCAAATTTATTTTAATAATATGCTTTTGGAATAAAAAAAATCTATCTAAAGATAGTTTTCTATTTCAGATACATTAATAATTGAGTTTATTCAGCATGAAATGGAGCTTAGGTAGGTAGCATGGGGCTGTATATTCTGCAATATTGGGACTGTCGGGGAGTCAACAGAAGGTCAGAGTAGGAGCAGCTGCGGGACAGAGATGACAGCCACTCTTTAAAAATTATGATTTAAATTGACTTGATTTAAATCAAATCCACCCTGCGTTCAACCTTTGGGAAGGGCTCCTTCACACATATACCAAAAAAATGGGGAAAGGATCCTTGCATTTGAAAGCAAGAATTCCCCGTCTTTAAAATTTATTTTAAATAGAATTTATTTATTTATTATTAAGACTTATACACCACCCATCTTGCTATCCCAAGCAACAAGGGGGTCTTACAATGCAGTAGAAATGTAAATAGAAATCAATTATAAATATAAAATCAATCCCTCAACTGAGACTTCAGCCCTTCCTCAACTACTTCTAAGTTTTTGAAGTAGCTCTTGTCAGGAACACTGGCAAATTTATCACATGCAACAGCTTCCTGTTGTTCTCCAGACCAAGATGATAGATTAGAGATGACTAGGGAATTCTGGGAATTGAAGTCCACAAATCTTAAGGTTGCCAAGGTTGGAGAGCCCTGTTCCAGAATGTTCTGTATCCATATCACTGAATTTTGCATTTTCCTACTTCAGATCTTTTAAATGGCTTGTTTTAGAAACTACCAAGATCACCTTACAGCATCTTGAAAAGGCATTTATAGTTCTGAAAAACTTTTCTCCCAAGGAATGCCAAAACTAACAATTAGTTCTAATTTAAAAAACAACAAGATAAAATAGCAGTGCTTCAGAATGGTAGGATGGTTCTGTTCTTCCCTACAAAATATTATAAACCACTAGAGAAGAGTTCAAAATTACAGATAATAAGATTCTAAAGAAAAAGTGGCACCTTCTTGCTTTTATTCCAAAATATCGAGGCCAAAATTAAAAACTCAGTTCCATTAACTTATACAGAAAACATGAGATTTCATGGAACACTGAGAAACTGAATTACAAATATATCTAGCACAAATTTCTGGCTATACATATTTGAAGTAAATATTCTTCTACTTCTTGGACGTTTCCAGCTGCTTTGAGATTTCAAACCCCACATCAACGCTTGTCAAGGCCATGCCCAGAGATGACACAGTGAAATCCAATCTAATTCAATCCTTTATTTGCTTATATGTACTAGACAGAATCTTGCCGCATTCAAGCTATCGCCTTCTAACCTACTAGATCTATCATGAGAGTTTCTAGGATCTGGCTACCCTGAATGCCCTGCCCCATTCAGCTTGGGGTTGTGCAGACTCTTCATCTGGGCCTCTTTCTGGGAAAGCTTTGGGTTCTCAAAACTAACCCCCCCCAACTTATTCTCTAGGTCCACATTCCATCACAAAGGTATTGCGAATGGTGGATGATTCACTCTCTATCCAACCTCTTGCCACAGACTTCTATACTCTTCCCTTTCAAAAAATGTCATGTTTTCTACATTTGGCAGAGAAGGGAGTTGAGAAGGACAAGAAGCAACAGATGGAAAGTAACCAAGGAGAGGACCTAGGAAAACTAGAACAAGAGGAGAAACTGTCCTCGGTGTCAGGACAATTAACCAGCGGAACAGCTTGTGGATGCTTCATCACTGGAGGTTTTTTAAAAAAGAGATTGGACATCTACTTGTCTGAAATGGTATAAGCTCTCCTGATTGAGCAGGGGTTGGACTAGAAGACCTCCAAGGTCCCTTCCAGCTCTATTATTCCATGTTCTATCTCAGAATATGTACGTGCCAGAGCAGTCTCCTGTAATTTAGGCTGAATGTGAGTGTGAGATTATTATCTGGCAAATGGGTTAATTCACTACATATGCAAAGGAGATCTGTACCTTTTAGTTTACATAAAGTTTTCTCCTTATATATTAAGGTATCTAGCAACTTATGCAGAACCAATATCAGCCAGAAATACAGAAGCGCATAAGGAATAGCTGTATAGGATATGAAACATGAAAAGAGAAAAGAGGTTATGGTATTTTCTACAGTGTACACCAGAGGTCTCCAACCTTGGCAGCTTTAAGACTTGTGGACTTCAACTCCCAGAATTCTCCAGCCAGCTATGCTGGCTGGAGAATTCTGGGAGTTAAAGTCCACTAGTCTTAAAGTTGCCAAGGTTGGAGACCTCTGGTGTACACAACTAGTACAGTCGTTCATTGTAAGCAGACATACTGATAACGAAGCCAGAAACTCTTCTGATTCCTATGTGTTAGTAACAGAGTCCTGGCCTTCTATTATTTCTATTCTACTATTGAACAATCTTGAGAAACTACTTTATCCATCATTTTTTTTGCTGCATGAGATTAAAAACAGAGGGAAATCTCTGTTAACCTGGAATATTTCAGCAAAGTTCTGAATCCCTTAAGTTAAAGTTTGGAAATCATAAAACAAAAAACAAAAAAATCTTACCTGGTAGGTGTTGTCAAAGCTGTCATACATGAATCTGGTGATCAAGGAAGTCTTCCCAACTGGAGAAACAAAGAAAACATGTTGGTAACATCCAACTAAATTCTAAGCCTCATCCTATTGCAGTTAAGGAAAAGGCATTTGACAAGAATCACATTTTTGACAATGACTGCGGTTTAGTGACAACAATTAAACGAGCCATATGGCCCCAAACTGTGAAATATTTTTAGTTTAACAGCATGTGAACACTTATTGTAACATCTGTCCCCATTACAGTAAGATTCAATTGTCAAAAGCTTTCACGCTTTGCAACTGTGGCTCCATGTTGTGCAGTTGAACTCTGGGAAAAGAGTCTACTAATCCAGGGTTGGCCAAATATCAAGAACAGGGGTTTGTGAACTTCAACTCCCAGAATTCCCCGGAAGCCAGAAGCGGAAAAAGCTTACTGGATGAGAATCAAAACATTATTTGGGGGAGCGTGGGAGGAGAACAAGAAAGTCATGTTGCCTTTTGGAAAAGCACCTCTGGGAATCTCCCCCAATGTTAACAGATTTCACATATTAACAGAGTTGGAAGGGACCTTAGAGGTCATCTAGTCCAACTCCCACCCAAGCAGGAGACCCTACACCTTAAGTTAGCTCCATCCCTCCTGACATTCCAGAAGTCCTTGGCTAGGTTACCCATCTTGGGAGTCCCAGAGAAAACCAGAAATATGTGTAGATATCCAGTACTGAGGTAGATGTTCTTTCTCTGCCTAAGGTTCGTAGAATTTATACTTAATAATATTAAATTTTTAATACTTATTTCACATTTTTATCATGATAGTTAATATTTGCATTGTGCTTTATCGGGCTGCCGAGAGCAGCCTAGAGTCAATTTTCTTGTGATGACAGCCATGATGGATGGATGGA